CAGAGAATTCTTCAGCCAAGAAAATCCATGAAAACTTCAGTTCAGGAGAGAGTGAAAAAAATATCATTGTGTCCCAAAACCTGGAAGACATCATTGCAAATCATCTTCAGATGCTCCCCGCTCAAAAAACCCGGGGAGAGACCAAGGAAATCTTGGATGAGGCAGGAAATGGGAATTGCAACCTGGAAATGAAGCCAGGGAGCATATATGAGGATTTCGATCAGAAGCAGAGGAATAATGAAATTGCCCAAAGCAAGGAAGAAAGTTCTACAAGATCAGAAGATTTGCGTGAAAGCAATTCTGTTGCCCTGTTGATTGATAAGCTGGAGGAAGAGGAGAATGAATGTAGCTGGAAAAGAAAAGAGTAAGAGAAAACAGTCTTCTCTGTATCCTCAGCCTGTGGATATAGGGAGCTATGTTGCTTTTCCCTTCGACCGTCACGTCAAAATCAACCACAAATAACTGTCAATATATTAGGTGTATGGGATTATGCTGTAATGTAGCCCCATAAACCAACATGGCATGTCACCCACTTGGGTATAAACACCTCTGTGTTGGAAAACAGGGCCTGCAGAGGAGTGTTTACCAAGCAAAAATGGAACAGATAGGTCGATTCTGATCTAAAGTGTTGTCTTGGGCTGTAAAACTATAGATTTTTTTTTAAATGGAAATGCTACCAATTATTGAGGGATTACATCTGTTCTCATGCTTTCCTTCCCAGACAGCCAATCAAACTTTTCAAAGTATGTTATATGGGTACAGCCCAGTCCATTCGAGGGGAGGGAGGGGTGAAGGAGAACGGCATACATTTCCACAAGATTTCTTAGGGAAACAAACACACAATATTTAGAACCCTTAGCTGGACCATGCAGCTACAATTCAAGGCAGCCCATTATCCTATTACTGTTGCATAAAAACGTGTCATTACCTTGAATAAAATCAATTTCCCTTTAACTATTTTATAAATTTATAACGAAGCTGGATAATTGGATGATATTTCATTCAGATGATACTTAACATTTTAATAGTACTTTCTAGTGGCCGTGCATTTCCAAGTAGTGAGCGTTATTATTTATGGTCCTGCAGATAAGGTTGAGAGAGAAAAGAAGCTCACGATATTCATAGAAGTGTGTCTCCCTGGCTTCTATGAACAATGCAAAGTGGGCATGTTTATGGTTTTTCTCTTCTGAGCCTCGTCCAGCTCTTGGAAGTAAGTGATGCTACGAAGCAACACAGCATGCCTCATTAAACAAAATCTGTCACCTCTTCACATTGTCAAGGTGTTATCCCTGCTGCTGAAAGCACCATGTTGTAGTGAATCCAGGTTGCCTTGCCCAGGCCTACTGCAGGTCTTTTATTTAACTATGTACAAGTTACCATATACATTACTCTCTTTTTTTGCTCATAAATGTTGTTTCTTGGTTACAGATTTTTCATGGAAGTGAACAATCTGAGAGAGCCTGAAGTATCCTGTAGTGTTACAGCCCCTTGTAGTATTCTAGAACATCTAGTAATCACAGTTGTTAATGATTTAAGTTCATTAGTTGTGAATGATGCAGAAGAACTTGTCAGCAATGTCATCTCTGCCGAGTGTTCGTTGATTGACCAACCAATGGCTTCTCCAATCATCATTGCAATCCCATTTACTTCACGTTACAGAGGAATGTACAAAGACATAATGGTGAAGGTGACTGACATAAATTTTCAGTCAATTTATTTAACTCCTACCTCTTTGGAAGGATATCAAGGTAACCAGAAGGTTAGTGAACTCTTTAATTCAATATCATGCTTAAATTGTAGGGCAGAAGAAATCTTAAATATGGTCATTTTGAATTAATGGGGGAAACAATCCCCTGAACATCATGGAGTCTTGAGTGAGTGTGTGCACACGTGCACGCACACCTTCAAGTCAGTGTTGACTCCTGGCAACTGCTTGGACAAGTTCCTGCAGTCGTCCTGGCAAAATTCCAGAAGTAGTTTGCTGTTGTCTTTTTCCTAGGGCTGAGAGAGAGTGACTGGCCCAAAGTGAGGTGGGACTAGTCACAGTCTTCCAGTTTTTAGCCTGATGCCTTAACCACTACACCAAACTGGCTCTAATCATGGAATCTACATGAAACAAGATAGATAGATAGATAGATAGATAGATAGATAGATAGATAGATAGATAGATAGATTTTTCTATACATGCAAAGAGTTTACATTCCAGAAACAAGTGAAATAAAAGCAGAGGGTATGTTTTATCTGTGGAAATATTCTTGTGTGAAACTGGGGATCTACCACTGCTAATCAATGTTTGCAACCATGGGCTTCCTGAAGGGTCCAGGAAAACACAGATTATTGATGGTGGTGCTCCAGTAATTGCTCTAAAAAGGCAAGACTTCTGCATAGTTCCTTCATTCATCTGTCACAAGAGCAATGACAAGGAGACCAAAGTTCTCTTGTAACAAATATATGGCTGTTAGATGTAATTCTATGACAGAAACATAATGGAAAAATCTGTCTTTCAAAATGAGTCAACTCTGGAGTGGATTTTTCTCCATATCTCTGGTTCAGATGAATTTTCCTAATTAGAATTTGGAATCTCTTCTGATGATTCATAACTGGTTTTCTTCTTTTGGTTTCATGCAGGGGACAGCTGCCATGGTGAAAACCTGCCAGCTTGGTATCTTTTCTGTTGTTTCATGCTTAAAGAAGGAAACATTGACTATTCCAAGGAAAGGCCTTTCACAAAAGCTTAATATGGATCCCAGAATTTCATTTTGCTATCCACCATCAACTTTCAGTTCTCGAGTGACAATGCACCTAAAGGTATGCTTGAAAACTCATGGCCTGACTTCTTGGAAATTAGCACATTTTTCACCAACCAACATGCATAAACACCTTTCTTGATTGGAACAGATCTAAAATCAAATACTATAGCTAATAATTCAGAAAGAGAATTACTTCCTTCAGTGAAGGGGGGAAAAAATCTATTCTCTGCCTCAGATTGAAGGATCTACTTTAAGGTCACCCAGGAGTTTAATCATTCTCAGTACTTTCTCCATCTATAACTTTGTCCTTTAAGAGGACAAAGTAGAACTCTATGCAATATTTCTATCTATCTATCTATCTATGTATCTATCTATCTATCTATCTATCTATCTATGTATCTATCTATCTATCTATCTATCTATCTATCTATCTATCTATCTATCTATCTATCATCTATCTACCTATTTACCATCCATTCATTTAATTTTGAGGCCACCTGACTCCTTGACAATTTTGGGAACCTTATAGATAAAAAGAAGAAAATGCACCAAGCTTGCTATATGGGATGGGAAGTTACACCAAATTTGCAGGATGAAGAACTTTTTCTGCACTTTTGGGGATTCCGTTTTTGGTCCAAAAAGGATTTAAAAAGTCATTTTTAATAGATTGCTGCTCATCTTTGTTTATAGCACTGCAACTGCTTAAAGGATTTTTTTACATCAAAAAACAGAGGCTGTCATTCAGTTCATCCCTGGGTGGCAGCAGTAGCTTATGAAAGAGTGTTAGGAAGACATTCACTACAGAATGTTCCTCCATGATTTCTTGAGAGAATTTTCTCGTTTCTTCTCTATCATGAGATTAAATGATTTTTTTTTAATATACATTTTCTCCCCGTTGAAAAGGAATGGCTACTTCTGCATGCTACTCATGTTCCTTTAGACCAGTGTTGTTCAAACTTGGCCACTTTAAGATGAGTGGACTTCAACTCCCAGAATTCCCAGCCAGAATGGCCACTGGTGAACGTTCTGGGGGAATGGAGCCAACCTGTCTGAAAAGTGGCAAGATCAGGGAAAGTGGTTTATTCTCTTTCTCAAAAATCCAAATCACCACTAGTAAAGATACCAAAAATTCAGATCTGCAGGGCCTACTCTTTGCAATTCAGCAACTTTCTTTAAAAATGCCCAGACTTCAGTGACTCTATTTTGAGTTTTTTCCTCCCATACCAGTTCCTTGTGTGAAAGTGAAATGTACCTGTAAAAGCAGAGAAGACAGCCAGCTCTACCATCTGTGATCTCAGATGGAACAGCTTTCAAAATGCCTCCTTTTAGCTGCTGCTCAAGGCCTACAGTAGCAAATAGTGGTTCCATCTGTGTGAAGAAAACCAACAACGGCGACTACCTAACAAGTCATAATATTGGTCCAGCTGATGGCTAAATGTGAACACCTACATCTCTTGCTTTCTACTGTATTCAGAGTTTTTTTAGCACAGCTTCATTTTGCTCCTTTTCAGATTTTGTCCAGATTTACTTCTGCCGAAAAAAAAAAAAGCATTCACATAGGTTGGCCACACATGGGCATTCAGGACCTCAAGGTGGGTTGCCTACTGATACTCCTAACATTTCTAACTAAAGGAGGAAGAACTGCCATGAACAGTCAGCTGTTCACATGCCTCTGCAGAAGGGGGCAGCATAGGTGCCCTGTAGATATTCTGACCATTCTGTAGGTGCTTCATTTGTAACCAAACATAGATAAATAATTTGGCAATAGTCGACTGGGCTTTTGGTGCGCAATGGCAGTTGCTGATTTGCTGTTGCTTGTTTACTTTCCATTCCATTTAGG